AGAAATTTTTAATAAATACTAATTATATATTTATTTATTTGTATATAATAACTTTTAAATTATAAAAAATATATTAAATATATAATAAATTTTAATAAACAAAGTGTTCACATTAAAATGACAACTATACAATATTATTAATGAATATAGATAATAAATAGTTTTTTTCAGTAACAAAAAAACGATAAATAACTTTAAATGCACGTTTGTAATATTATGAAATAATAATTAAATATGAGGTTAAGTTTTCCAAACTTATTAGTAAATTTTCTTGAGATTAAGTTTATAATAATGAAATGTATTGATTTTGTTGTGATCAAAAAATATTAATAATAATTAAATATATTTTTAATTATTGTAGAATTAAATATATTTTTTAATTAAATATATTTGTATTTAGTGTGAAGACCTATTTTGGTTCCTCACAAAAGTTATACAACTTAAGTTAGTTCATCACAAAAAAAAAAAAACAACTCAATTTATCCTTTACAAAATTTAAAAGGATCATATTTGTCAATCTTTTTTATTAATATTTTTTAATTGATGTTATAAGTTTAAAAAAATTAGAATAATTAGTTATTTGTACAATTTTTAATTATAGAAGAATATCAAATATATAATAAATAAATATTTCACATTTATATGACAGTTATATTATATTATTAATGAGTAAAGACAATAATTTTTTTTTTCAAATGCTAAATAAATTTTAAAAAAAAGTATATTTATGATACGAACACATAAAAATTATTAAATATTATTAATAAAATACATTTTAATTATTATAGATTTATTATATATGTAAGGAATAATAATTAAGAAAATATTCACTTTTAAATGTCAATTGTATTATATATTTTATAAATAAAGACAATAAATAGTGGTTTTATTTTAAAAATTAAATTAAACAATTAAATTCATATTTTTGAAATATATAATAAATTTATTACTTTGTAAACTTAAATGGTAACTCTGTTGGCATTATTATTCCTAGTAGGGATTTGAGGAAAGGGGATCCCTTATTCTCAAACATTACGAAAACGAGACTGACAGAACATATCTATATTTGGAACAAATATTGTACAATGATGAGATATAAAGTCAAAGAATATTTACATTGATTAGGCATAATTAGTTTCCTATTATGCAGATTGTAATTCTTGTATATAATACATGTTCATGATCAATAAAAAAGGCAGTGAAAAAACATTTTCTTATATGGTATCAGAACGGTTTTGATCCATTTTTTTCTCTCTTCCGCTCCAAACAAATTCCTTTTTCTCTTCCACCATGTCTTCAACCTCCGAAAATGCACAAGTATGGAAAGTAAACACAAAATATGTATAAGTAAAAATAGACAAGTTTATGTACACATTCTATACTACATATACATTAATTACAAAACTCAAAAACAAAGAAACTATCGCAATGCAAAACAATAAATATCAATCCCAGGCAACGACGCCATTTTGCTGGAAGCGGTAAAGCAACAAGCAAAAAGTAAATATTTTTACTGGGTGATATATGTTATACCGCATCGTGTCCACAAAGATTGGTGTATTGAAATTTTGTTCGACAAATTTCTCGTTAATGAATTTGAGGGATAAATGGGTTGAAAGGAAAGGTATCAATAGAAAATAAATGTATAAAAAAGAAAGGCAAAATTATCCGGCTCGAATGTACTCTACTCATCACAAAACCCATGGGCGACAATATACACGAGTTCAAAGTAAATATACATACAAAACCCATCAAAAGAGAAATACAAAGAGAGGAGAAGAGATAAACGACAAATCTTCTAGTTTGTCAGTGCCAGTCGATGAGAAATTCACCTCAAATCATCCATAAGTAAAGCCCTAGTGTTGTTTTCTAAGCTAATCTATCAAAAATAAGGTTGATGGAATTTGGGAACAAAAACACCCCAAAAACCATAATAAAAAAATGAGCTGAAAGTGAAGTTATAAAACAAATCTCAGCAGACCGCGCTTAGCGGGCTCACCGCGCTAAGCAGGCTGCACGATATTTACACATTACACCGACCTAAATCGCGCTAAGCGCGTTATCCACGCTAAGCGGGCTTCAAAACTAAGCTTCTTCCAAAATGTCAAAACGTAAGCAACACGCTACAAAATGCGTTGAGCGCACTCGCACTTAGTTACCTTTGCGCGCTAAGCTGACTCTCTTGTGCAAAACTTCTCAAAATTGGTCTTTTATTCTGAAAATGCGCATCCGGAGCCGTGATTTCGACACCTTATTCCTCAATGCTCCAAAATGCAACAAATACCTACAAAATAAATGGAAAAACATCAAACAGTACACTATGTACACAAAAACACAAATAAACACAAACTAAATGTATTCACAGAAAAGTCGAGTTTATTCAACGATTATTAACAACAAAGAGTCGATAAGTGCAACAAAAAGTATATACAAAAATAACTACAATTTGCACTTATCAAACTCTTCCCAACTTGAACTTGTTTGTCCTCAAACAAGGCTATACAACTCAAAGAACTAAAAGTAATCAACCAAAATATCATGAATCAACAAGTTTTAAAACAGAAAACAAATGTATGGTTCAAACAAAAATGCACACGCAAGATAAATACTTACGAAAATCCTACAACGACAACATGTAAACAAAACAAATCATAAGTACAAAAACCATACTAAACATTCTAAAGCAAAACAAGCTCAATCATGAACCACACCTAATAAAAATTCATCGGTAGATGAAGAACACACAAAAATGAGGGACAAAAAACACTCATCTACAATCTTGCAAATGATAGACTAAATCACGCATTCATCTAAAAATTCATATCGAAAATACAAAGGCAAGAATCTCCAAGGTTTTTTCAAGGTTATAATGTGGCTTGGTTAAAAAACAAGGGGTAAATGTCATAACCTAAATTTGCCCTACCCTTATACTATATTTAGGTTTTTAATTCAGTAAATCACGTTGTGTAGGTTTTATTTCTATTGGGGTCTAAAACAAAAAAAAGGTGTATTGATCTAAGATGGACCATCAATATCTGATGGCCCATTAAAGTTTTATTCTTTTTTAGAGGGGTGCATCCTTATAGAAAGGGGTACATTCAAAGAGGTTGTTTAAAAAAGTCATTATGTCATTTGGCTAGCCCATATCAATTTATTAAGGCCCATTAGACCAAAAGTCCTTTTCAAGTATCAAAGAGGTTGGTGTATTGTTGATCAAATAAGCCCATCAAAACTTTTTGGATGACCCAATGTTTAATTAGAATAATTGGAAGTCAATTTCTGTCTTTTTATTATTATTTTAATTTTGTTGATTATTGAATGAAAAAACACAAGAGGGGGGGGGGGGGGGGGGGTGAATTGGGGTTTTTAAAACTTAAAATAAAAGACACGTTGGTTATCTGATTCGTTTGAACTCAAACTACTCCAGTCCATCTGCCAAGGTGATTTTGTCTCTCTCAAATGAGGTCTTAATCCACTAATCAAACTTGATTACACAGATATAATGACAAATGTCAAAGTCTTCTTGAGCTTAAATCACAACCCGATTTTCTCAAGGTATTACACAATAATATAATTGAAAGTGTGTACAAATATGTTTTCTAACAAAAACAATATCACAACAGTGATGTATTACAAAATTGAAAAGCACATGATAGAAAGGTAATAATATTTCTCTTTTTCAGTGCACAGTAAAATCATATATGATTTCTTCTTCACGTCTTATTTATATAGGCAATGCATGAGAAGGTGTTTTTGGAAGGTTGACAAATAGTAGTTAATGTACTTTCCAAACATAGAGATTCTTGTCTTCTTTCAGCTGTTACTATTGATTAGCCATGAATAAAATGTAACGCTTCAAAACATGCTTACTAAAGATCACATCAGAAGATGAATGTTACTGTTGAGACTCATTTACTTCTTTTCAGAACTTTACGTATCAGAATATCAGAGTTCTTGTTCGCAGTGTTAGTGCACTCAGAAGTTGTAACATCAGAACTTATTTATTTAAGCGTGTTACACATATTTGCTTCTACGTAAGATGTGTCAAAACAGAGTTTTAACAACGATCTATCTCATCTTTTGTGCTTCTTACATCATAACTTCCATGCAAAACAAAATACTTATTTAGGGAGCATAATTGTTCTTTGTGTGTTTGTTATCATCAAAACACTTACAAGGATGTAGAACCAAACCATGTTCTAACAATTATTATTTCTTATAATATAATAGTTGATTATTCTTAATATTATTACACTATTATTAACCTTACTATTATTAATTATACTAATATCATTATTATTATCTTTTAAAGCACTTAATTAAAAAATGTTTGTTTTGTTAGTGAAAAAATGTGTGATTAAAAAAAAGCAGTTTTGGACTTTCTTCACACAGTCCAACCTCATGTAGCTAACAGGACCAATCAAAGAATCAAGTCGCAGCCCAGAAGGCTTAGTCCAAATCCAAAGAATGCATTGCAACTCCAAAACACACATTGTACGAATTACGAATTAATTGAAGAAACGCACACTTCATTTGTTTTAAACATTACTAATGCAAATCATTGAAAGAGAATAATGAATGTGTGTACTGTGTGAATCTAACATTGCCTTTATCATGTAAACATAATCAAATACTTTATAGAACTAAATCATATTAACACAAACATTTTTATCAATAAAGTCAGATCTGTATGGAATCAATTTCAAACATGGCTTAATCAGAAATCAATACAGAATCATACCATACTTATTTTACAGATCCCTTAATCAACACAAATCAAATACAATTTCTAAATTCCTAAACTAATCGGAGTAACGATAAAGCATTGACTTTGTTTCCTAAAATCTAAATCCTAAAAAATACTATAAAAGCTTAGCAAAGAACTAAAGAAAAGGGAGGGGGCAGAAAAATTACAGAGGAGGGAGTATGTAGTAAACAAAGTAGTTTTTGTGTTGTTGTAACCGTGAGAAACTGCTTGAGAGAGACAGATTGAGAAGTAATCAGAATAGAAAGATATCGATGAAACCAAAAATGGGATTAGAGAAAAGATGAACATAAGTTATGTTGTTATTATTGATCGATTGAAGTAGAATCAAAACGGATGAAGGTTTTGTGTGTGTTCTTGGAATCGAAAAATAATGTCGGTGGATTATAGAGAATAGAGAAAGTAGACTGAGTTTAACGTGAAACAAAGTGGGATATAATAAGCAGTCGTTTAGCATCTTTTTCTTAGGGTTTCTTTTGTTTTGTCATTCACCGGACCCAATATCTATTTCTGACCCGGCCCATTCTGATTAATGCCCATCTTTTTTTTTGTTATGGCTATGTTGAAAATTGGGCCATGTATCAATCAGGCCAATTTGAATTCTAACTAAGGTAGTACACCACAGCTTTTGTTTTCAGCAAAGGGACAACATAATCATTTGGGCCTCACCCTTTGGGCCCGACGATTTCTTCTAGCACCCTCCTGTCCTTTTGAGCCTGAATTCAATATCTGAATTCGAGCTCATGCTTTTGACACCCTCATAGTTTTACAAACCTAGTCTATTTCACACCCCCTGCATTTTATTATTATTTTTTAATAATTTTATATTTTTTCTTATATTTTTATTAATTATACCTTTTTTTTTCTTGTTTTAATTAAATTTAATATATTTAATGCTATTATATTTAACATATGAATATATTATTTTCCAAACTCATCAAAAATATTATTTTTATTGTATTAAATTTTACTTTCTATCATGCATTTAAATAAAATATTTCAATATTTAATAAATAAAAAATATCCAACCAACCACAATTTATTTTCGTAAATCAAATTAATTCAATAATCAATTTAAAAAAAAGGATTACGAATATATTCAAATCGACTGCGCGCTTAGTCTAACAATCTATGCTATTCACAACACCTAAGCAAAGCTCACGGGAAATTCAAATATTTTTCGTAATCCATAAAAAACACAAACCAACCTGCGAACTACGAAATGTGACTCGGATTCCTCCTAAGAGGATACGTAGGCATACGACTATAATCGTGCTGAGTTCCCCGAATAAAAATTAAAAACCCTATTTCTTAAAAACGCGCTTCTAAACCTAGTATCCTTGGGAACAAGGTAGATGGGGGAGCCTAACACCTTCCCCTCGTCTAGAACCGAGTCAACGATCTAGAATCTCTAACTTTTAGGGTTATTCTTTTATACTCCCTTCCTTTAGGATAAAAATTAGGGGTGACGACTCTGATTTAAAAACCAGTTAGAACAATAAGTCTTAAAGCTAATCGAAACAAAAACTTTCCTTAACCTAAGGGAGTGATTAACTCACAAAGACTCAAGCAAAATAATTTCAATCAAACTTCTTCTTCATTCCAAATTTCAATCCAACACACATCACTTATTATCACAAAATTATTCGAGCTCTTTTTGTTTTTGTTTTCAAAACTTTTCTCTTTTTTCTTTCTTTTTATTTTCTTTATTTTTCACTTTTTTTCCACAACCTCATAGCAATCACAACATAAGCACATAAACATTTCTCTCCCCAACTTGAATTCAACCATATCATAATGTGAATATTCCCTACTTTCTAAGGCAAGGAAAAAAATTCAAACTACATATCATAGTTGAGAGTTCAAGAAAACAAAGAATCAATATTCATACAAAAAGATGAACCAAACATTCATAGACAAGCATTTATCAAAAACAACATGGGCATCGACAAAAAGTTTCAAAGGGTTTACTATTGATCACACACTCACAAGGTGAATTGACTATTTGGCCAAGGTAGTTGTGCTCAAAATCAAACAAAAAAATGTCCTGATCATGTTCATGCCTTCATACAATCAACACAATAAAAAGATTAAACATAATAAAATCCAGTTAAAACAAGAATTGTGGCCTCCAACATATATGAACAATGGAAAGCTTCCTCACATTTATGGGTAAAAAGGGAATTAAAGTGATTCAAGTTATGAGCAAGTAATGCAAAAAGAATGAGTGGTATGGTAATTATATAAATGATAAATTTCCTAAACATGTTATATTATAGAAAGCGATAAACGAGTATTTGAGTACCACTTCAAAAGCTATCATTACCATACATCCCAAGGTTGACACACTCAAAATAGAAAAATCACCAAATGCGACCTCAAGCTATCGGACTAAAATTTGAGTCCAAACAACAAAAGAAAGAATTAAAAATATTACTATTAATTATTATACTATAAAGCCTTGGGTGAAGTGGGAAAAAAAGGAGAGTCAAGCAGAAAATTAAAAAGAATTCACAAGCTTTCAACAGCAAGGCACGCTAAGCGCGGTCAAACGCGCTAAGCGCGCTACACCAAAACAAAAAAACCAGTTCAGCAGACAGCAGCGCAACCTCCACATTCACCTACACAATCTCAACTACACATGTACAATATTTATAACCGACAATAGACCTCGAGCTAAACACGACAAGCTTGCAGAAAAACACAAATTGACATAACAAAACAATCAGTTGAAAGTGAATTAAACAAGTTGAAAAGTGAAAATTTGAGAATTTAAAGCAGGTCCAATTTCAACTTGTTTAAACAAAACTCACCATCCAACATAAATGAACATAAATATACTTGTTTTACGTCGTAAGCACAATATTATGCAAGTTAGTAACCTCCTCTCGTCATACCATTGTATTTTCACACCGTGCAAACCTAAAGAAATTGTCCTAACAAGCACACAACAATCGTTACGAAAACGAGACAATTCACAACAATACGTGAAAACAAAGAAAAATACATATATGCACAAGTATGGAAAGTAAACACAAAACCTATATAAGTAAAAATAGACAAGTTTATGTACATATTCTATACAACATATACATTAATTACAAAACTCAAAAACAAAGAAATTATCACAATGCAAAACAATAAACACCAAACCCCAGCAACGACGCCATTTTGCTGAAAGCGGTAAAACGACAAACAAAAAGTAACGTATTATTTTTTCCGGATGATATAGGTTATGTTGCATCGTGTCCACAGAGATTGGTGTATTGAAATTCCATTCAAAAAATTTCTCGTTAATGAGTTTTGAGGATAAATGGGTTGAAAGGAAATGTATCAACATAAAATAAATGTATAAAAAAGAAAGATAAACTTATCTGGCTCGAATGTACTATACTCATCACAAACTTAAACCTATCGACCATTTATACTCAACCTACAATATTCATCAATGTCATCACATGTCAAACACAACACCCACTATATCACCTCGGCGGCGATCTCTCAACCAACTTTAACAACACATAAGTCAATCGTGCTCCCTTGCATCGATGATCTCTCAGAGTGACACAAACAACACAGAGGAATTAATCACAGACACCCTAAGTGAATATCATCTCTAAATCTATCTCTAGAATCTAGAAACTAATAGATAATCATCCTAGATAAGAATCCAAACAGTATATGTCTATAGTAACTCAATTCCCTAGCACAAAGTAAAAATCAAGGATAACAATCGACAAGGATTTGTAAAACAAGTTTTATATAACGTCATGGGCAACAAATATACATGAGTTCAAAGTAAATATACATACAAAACCCAACAAAAGAGAAATACATAGAGAGGAGAAGAGATAAACCACAAATCTTCTGGTTTGTCAGTGTCGATCGATGAGAAATCCACCTCAAATCATCCATAAGCAAAGCCCAAGTGTTATTTTCTAAGCTAATCTATCAAAAATAAGGTTGATGGAATTTGGAAATAAAAACACCCCAAAAACCATAACAAAAAATGAACTGAAAATGAAGTTATAAAACAAATCTAAACAGACTGTGCTTAGCGTGCTCACCGCGCTAAGCGGGCTGCACGATATTTACATATTAAACCGACCTAAACCGCGCTAAGCAGGCTCCAAAATTAAGCTTATGCCAAAAATGTCAAAACCCAAGTAGCGCGCTACAAAATGCGCTGAGCGCACTCGCACTTAGCGGTCCTTGCGCGCTAAGCGGGCTCTCTGGGAAAAAACTTCTCAAAACTGGTCTTTTATTCCGAAAACGCGCATCCGGAGCCGTGCCTTCGACACCTTATTCCTCGATGCTCCAAAATGCAATGAATACCTATAAAATGAATGGAAAAACATCAAACGATACACTATATATACAAAAACACAAATAAACACAAACTAAACGTATTTACACAAAAGTCGGGTTTATTAAATGATTATTAACAACAAAGAGTTGATAAGTGCAACAAAAAATATATACAAAAATAACTACAATTTACACATATCAATGCCACATGGGTGTAATAAGGTTTAAAAATTTCCCATGGAAAAGATGGAAATGAAGGTGTGGTAGGAGTGGTGCCTATGGTGGAATGCTAAGATGAAAATGAAGGTGTATGATAAGGGTAATCTATAGGAGGATTTGAGTATATGGATGAAAGCACCAATTGATAGGAAGATTCTTATCAAAACTATGAAATTAGGATTTCTACATTAAAGAGGGAAGAACACTAAAATGACTAAATAAAATAAAAGGAATAAAATAACTTTTCATTTGATTTCTTGATATCCTCTAATGTGTCATAGACACTACATATATAGAACTCTCAATGAATAATTAACTATAAGGCTCAAACTCTATTAAAGGTTTAATTCAACAATATTTAAAGATAATAACTAACATAATTATATTTCTACTTAAAATATCTAATTGCATCTCCTACCATTGAGTTCCTCAACCGGTATTGGAGAGGCTAAAGTGCATGATTTTTTTTTGTTGGGAAAAATATAGTTAATACTTGGCTTTCTTTTGGTAACATGATAGTGTGGACAATTTGTAACGGGAAAGTATAGATGCGTGGATTGACTGTTGGGTAGCACCATGAATCTTATTGTCCATGTACTTCTATGATTACTACTTATCCCCAACAAGTACTTGAGTTGAGGGTACGCTAGCACATGCAAATTGGAAATAAATACATTCTTCCAAAACATAAAGGCCAAACTAAAGCCTGACACTGACAATGCTATATCATCTCAGTACAGACAAGCCAAAGTACTATGTTACATTGCTAGCAAATGAGAACATTGCACAATTTGATTTATACCAACCAAGTTTATGCATTTATCTTATCCTAGAAGACATGATAACCACATGATTCTCCTAATGGCAAATTCCAATAACTTGTTGTCTTCATTCAGTTGGTTGGAAATTTCATAAATATCTTCAAAACCA